CATCCTGAGTAGCACCAGTGGCTTGGAATGGCGCAGGCGCACTATGCTCGCATGTCCGCACATTCGCGCACGGCAAGGAACGGCCCCCCTGGGTCCCTGACAGAAGTATATCGCCACAGTTAGTAAAAGGAACCCCCAAAAATTCTATCAATACATAAACAGTAAAAAAGGGGAGAAAGGGTCAGATATGCCCAATAAAGGACGAAAACGGGAGGTTAGTCAGAAATGACAGGGAGAGGGCCGAGGCGCTAAATACTTTTTTCTCGTCGGTATTCACCAAGGAAAAAGACAGGTTTAATGTACATGATATAAAACATAGTATAACAGAAAAAACACCTCAGTGGTTGACCGAAACTTGGATACAACATAGGCTGAAACTACTTAATGCAAATAAAGCATTGGGACCTGATAATCTACACCCCAAGGTACTCAAAGAACTCAGCCAGGTAATAACGAGACCATTGCTCCTCATTTTTAAGGAATCCATAATGACTGGTAGAGTGCCAAGCAACTGGTGGAGGGCTAATGTGGTACCTATATTTAAAAAAGGGTCAAAATGCCAACCCGGGAACTACAGACCAGTTAGCCTGACATCCATAGTATGCAAACTGCAAACTGAGGGAATTATTAAGGACTACTTAGTGGAATTCGTTCAGGATCATGGCATAATAACTGATAACCAGCATGGATTTAGGAAGGATCGTTCTTGCCAGACCAACCTGCTAACCTTTTACCAAGGAGTAAGTAGAGATCTGGATGTAGGGAGGCCGGTGGACGTAGTGTATCTGGACTTTTCCAAAGCATTTGATGGCACCTTGTGAGACTGGGCTGAGGTCATGAGTGGCGTGCCCCTGGGTTCTGTGCTGGGCCCCATGCTCTTCAACCTGTTTAATAATGATATCGGGGAGGGAGTAAATAGCCGTGTCTCAGTGTTTGCTGATGATACGAAAATTGGGAGGGTAATAGACACGGATTTAGACATTGTAACATTACAGGAAGATCTGGATAAAATCGGGGAGTGGGCAACTGTATGGCAGATGAACTTCAATATCGATAAATGCAAAGTAATGCACTTTGGAGTTTAAAATATGGGTGTGCCACTAGGGAAGTCGGAAATGGAGAAGGATTTGGGGGTCATTGTAGACCGCAGATTGAAGAATAGCTTGCAGTGCCAGACTGCTGTAAACAAATCAAGCAGAGTCCTGTCTTGCATTAAGAAGGGAATGTATTGCAGGGACAAGTCTATAATTTTCCCACTTTACAGATCACTGGTTCGGCCTCATCTGGAGTTTGCGGTCCAGTTTTGGTCACCGGTACTCAGAAAAGATGTCCTTGAGCTGGAAAAAGTCCAGCGGAGGGCAACCAAACTCATTAAGGGGTGGGAGGACCAGAACTATGAAACAAGGCTGTTAAAATTAAATATGTTCTCTTTGGAAGTTAGGAGATTGAGATGGGGCATGATTCTCTTGTATAAACTGTTCAATGGTGACAGCAACATTATTAACAAACTCTTTACGGTTAACTCCATAACAAAGACTAGAGGGCACCACCGAAAATTGGTGGAAAAAAAATGTCAACACACGCAAGGGGTACTTCTCAGTTAAGGCCTGGAACTCACTGACGCAGGCAGTGATTTCAGCTAAGAATGTGGAATCATTCAAGAAACTCTTGGACGATTTCCTTGGAGACCATAACATACAGGTACTCCTAAGCACAAAATCACATATGGACGAATACACACGCACACAGCAGCTCAACCATAAATGCATACACGCAATAGGTTGGACTTGATGGACTTCTGTCTTTATTCAACCTCAAATACTATGTAACTATGTATGTTAGCAACCCTGTAGAAAGAATCAGGAAATCCTCTAAACCTGGGCAATGGCATTCTGTTTCATCTGAAATTAATCCTGCAGATCATGCCACCAGGCCAGTCTCTGCAAGTGTCTTTGCAAATTCTTCCTGGTTAACAGGTCCTAAATTCCTTCTGGATCATCCCGAAGAAACCACAGCTGATGTCTTCAGTCTTCTAGATCCTGACAAAGATCCAGAAATGCGTCCTGAAGTCAAAACTCTTCTCACCAGATCCAAGCAAAGACTCGTCTTGGCATGTCAATGCTTTGAATGTTTCTCAATGTGGACAAGGCTTGTACACATCACTGCAAGGTTAGTTCATACTACACACTGCTATCACATTAAGCCCAAAGATGTTCACTGTCAGGACTGGCAAATATGCCAAAATCCTCTTTCTGCAAAGGACATTGCTCAAAGTGAGCTGATCATACTAGACTGTGTACAACAAAACATCTCTAGAGATAAAATGTGTCCGTGACAAGCAGGACATTCCTAAAATCAATCCAACTGTCAAGCTGAATCCATTCATCAACAGTAATGTGTCTATAGATTAAGAGTTCACAGCCATCATTACTCCAGCTACTCTTCTCACCCAGAAGCTTGGAACTGTTCCTGTTTCACGTGGAGACTTTACAGCTGGAATTACATGCGTGCCCATATTCTTCAGGTACTTACGTGCACCATGCACATCCAGGGATGGACTTATTCAAAGTGCCTTTAACCTATCAAAGAGTTTCTTGTCTTCAAAACCAAGGAACTTTACAATTTTTCCTCTCATGGAAAAGTGGCCTACTGCACTTGAAATGCTGTTCCAGTTATCAAGTCTGCAATGCTGATCACAGACTTTATCTTACATTTGGACTTGTGGATATATGTTCTTTCTGTATTTTCAGGTCCAAAGTACAAGTCACAAGGTTACATTTAATGACTCAATGTATTATGGTTTTTATTGTTGCATGATATGCATTGTTCTCTTTTATGTCTTTCAGATCTTCAAGACATCAAGGCAAATTGCACTGTTTGCACTTGCATAACTACCGTTATGATTTATATAGTGGTATTTTACAATGCCAGACGGGGAGTATGCTGTTACACAGTTGTAAGATATCACAAATGCATAGCCACAATATTCACATTAATTTGAGATGAGAATTTATATAGTTTATTTTCCTTAAACCATATATTGTTAATATTAAGTTTGATAAGAATGCTGGGGGTCTGACCCTGGTCTCCTGTGTCACTCATGCTCCTTTAACTCTGTATACTTGCCCCTGCTCCCCTTGGTATACGTTTGCACACGCATTAGTGTAACTTACCTGCCTTGGTTGCCTTCGGCCGGGGAGGCGTTTGTTTTCCACGTACTTTTCAAATGTGATGCGTAAGGTCCTCAAGGCCACACAACGCTTGTTATGTTGGGCTGGCTAGCCCTCTCATGCTCTCAATACATGTAATGAGATGACTGTACTCCCCTACCCCGAATGTGTATCGCGGAAGTTGTTATATTGTTGAGACACTGTCTCCTTATGTCATTGTACCTCTCTGTGTATAATAAAGCTGATTCTTGATTTAAAAAAAAAAACATATATTGTGAGCAGCATTATAGTTGGTTAATGTGCTGACATCTTATGGTCATTTTAGTTATTCCACTTTGGTTATTGCACGTTTTCTGTGTTACATCCCATCTATGATGTATTTCCCCCTGTGTGTAATGTAACCACACCCTTCTTTTCCAGTAGTCGTTTTAGTGTCATGGCTACTTGTAACAGGACCACATGTTAATCTGCATTGCATGCTTGGAAACATTATCATCTTTGACCGTCTTTAAATACCATCTACTCATTCATCTGCTGTATCCTGTTGTCTGCTGTAACCTGCTTCATGGAATAAAGTACTTTGTGGATGGAAAAGTTATTTGGTGAGTTCCAGCCTTCCCTTGCTGTTCCACATGTGCTCGTGCATGCAGCAGAGTCTGCCTTGGGCCGTGTGCCTCCTGCACACCCACAACTCCGCTAAGCTGTTCAGACTTCCAATAAGGCTGCTCTCAGCCACCTGATCATCCTAGACTTGTCATTGGCAACACCTGACCCCAGGACTAGCGATTCCATCCCCCTACATTTTAGAATACCTGGAAGAAACTGAAAAATATTCACATCCTGGAACCTCTCAGCCCCACTCACTCAGAGTTCTGGTTGACTGTGTTGCCAGATTACATTGTGGCATTGTCACGCACCTCTACAGTATGTACATCCCAAAGATTCTCAGTGGGGTTAAGGTCTAGACACTGTGGTGGCCAATTCATGTGTGAAAATTATGTTTCATGCTCCCTGAATCACTCTCACAATTTGAGCTTGATGGATCCTGAAATATGCCCATGCCATCAGGGAAGAAAAATCCTATGATGGAAATGGACTGGTCATTCAGTATATTTAGGTAGGCAGCTGATCTTATTTTTGGGGACGTATCGTTGCTGAATCTAGACCTGACCAACTGAAGCAACCCCAGATAATAACACTGCCCGAAATCCAGGTGGTGACTTTTTTTTGGCAGATGTATGGTATCTGAAGATGGAGAGTAGGCACTCAAGGGCCTTCCAAAGGGGGTGAAGGGGAAAAAAAGATTGCTTTCGGCAAGTCACAGCCCACCTCTCTTATGTAGCACACGCTCTCTCTATCAATCTCTATGACTTTAGGGCCTGTTCACACGACGTCCATTTTCTGTGCTGACCTGATCCGTACGCTCCTGCACTAAAAATGCATCCCAATGTATCCCTATGTGTTTTATGGGCTACAATTCTCACGTGCGCAGTCCATTCAGGTTACGGCAGAAAAAATACTGCATGTCACATTTTGTACGGTCAGGAAACGGTCTGGAAACGCAAACCACGTCAAAAACGCACTGCACTGCAGCTAACATACTGAAAGCCCCACTCCAGCAAAAAATAAATAAATATATATATATATTTTTTTTTTAACTGGAACGCATCAAAAACACGGCAATAACGCAGCAAAAACACATAGAACCGCATCTGGAGATCCACACCTGATCCGGACCTGATCAGGACCTGAAACTCATGTGAACAGGCCCTAACATTGAATCTGTCAAATATGTTCTGAAGTCCCAAAGTCTTGCTTTTTATCTTATAGGGTTTTAAGGATAAACCTAAGAAGATGGTTTATATGAAGTCTGACTTGATTGATGTAGATCTGGTCAGAGGTAAGTGACATTATATTGCACCTTCTTAGCCTTAAAATGTTGAAACATTTGTGTACTTCTGGGCAGTTTTAATTAAGCTGAGAGATTGTTTGTTTTAGGTGGATTGGGCAGTGTCTGATTTCCCACAGGTTCTTTATTGCTTTCTAGGACCCTAGAAGCATAATGTTCCATGTAATATTTAGTACATTACAGAGATAGGAATTAATTCAAACTGCTTGTTTCTGCATCTTGGGATCACAGGAAAAAAAAAAGAGTAAAATGTTATTAAACAGAAAAGAGTCATCAGTCACATATGGAACAAGCTACTGTTTGTAAAGTGAAATAAACCAATTTAAAACAGTCTTACATTTAATATTCAAGCCAACCTTATTAGTGCACCTCCACAAATTCATAATTGAGATGTTGTAAGTGGTTGAACTTGATGCATAGCGGCCTTTAAAATTTTTTAATTTAAACTTTCCTAATGAAAGTTTAAATTAAATTTAAAAAAATGTGGTCCAATGTCAAAGCTAGAAAAGCTTTTTTCTACATGTTGAATCTTGTGGACATAGAATTCCTGTCTTCCCCTTCAATCTCCAGTCCTGCCAGAGAAAAAACTGGTGAGAGGAGACTGACAGATAGAGATGGGGAAACTCTGAGAATTACATTTTTCCAGTGATCTACTTTATTTGACCCTGGGTTCACCTTTCTAGCAGGATTATTTGCTGCAGGCCACACATTGATTTCACTTGAATATCTGGTTCATTGGTGGTTATGAAATATGGAAGCGGGATTTGCTGTTCAGTATTTACAATATACTGTATTTACTCCATGGCCCATCAGGATTATATGCTGCTGCCATTTGGAAAGCCAGGTCAATCCATACAGCAGCGCTCCATGAAGCTCGCTTGGGCAAAGTCTATTGCTGGAAGAGAGGCCTAAATTCGGGGCATGGGAGACCGTACACTTGTGCTCATAAGTTTACAAACCCTGGCAGAATTTATGATTTCCTGGCCATTTTTCAGAGAATATGAATGATAACACGAAATCCTTTCTGTCACTCATGGGTAGTGTTTGGCTGAAGCCATTTATTATCAATCAACTGTGTTTACTCTTTTCCAATCATAATGACAACAGAAACTACCCAAATGACCCTGATCAAAAGTTTACATACCCCAGTTCTTAATACGGTGTGTTGCCCCCTTTAACATCAATGACAGCTTGAAGTCTTTTGTGGTATGTGTGGATGAGGCTCTTTATTTTCTCAGATGGTAAAGCTGCCCATTCTTCCTGGCAAAAAGCCTCCAGGTCCTGTAAATTCTTGCGCTGTCTTGCATGAACTGCACGTTTGAGATCTCCCCAGAGTGGCTCAATGATATTGAGGTCAGGAGACTGAGATGGCCACTCCAGAACCTTCACTTTATTCTGCTGTAGCCAATGACAGGTCGACTTGGCCCTGTGTTTAGGATCATTGTCATGTTGGAATGTCCAAGTACGTCCTCCAGTCCTCCAGTATCTTTTGATAACATACTGCATTCATCGTGCCATCAATTCTGACCAACTTTCCTGTCCCTTTGTAGTTCACACATCGCCAAAACATCAGCGATCCACCTCCGTGTTCCACAGTAGGAATGGTGTACTTTTCATCATAGGCCTTGTTGACTCCTCTCCAAATGTAGCGTTTATGGTTGTGGCCGAAAAGCTCAATTTTGGTCTCATCACTCCAAATGACTTTGTGCCAGAAGGTTTGAGGCTTGTCTCTGTGCTGTTTGGCGTATTATAAGCGAAATACTTTGTGGCATTTGCGTAGTAATGGCTGTCTTCTGGCGACTCGACCATGCAGCCCATCTTTCTTCAAGTGCCTCCTTATTGTGCATCTTGCAACAGCCACACCACATGTTTTCAGAGTGTCCTGTATTTCACCTGAAGTTATTGTGGGTTTTTCTTTGCATCTCGAACAATTTTCTTGGCAGTTGTGGCTGACAGTTTAGTTGGTCTACCTGACCGTGGTTTGGTTTCAACAGAACCCCTCATGTTCCACTTCTTGATTAGAGTTTGAACACTGCTGATTGGCATTCTTAATTCCTTGGATATCTTTTTATATCACTTTACTATTCTATACAGTTCAACTACCTTTTCCCGCATGTCCTTTGACAATTCTTTTGCTCATCCAGATACGTCAGTGCAGCACTGGATGAAGGATGCAAGGGTCTGTCAGGAGGCCAGAAACTCATTGGCCTTTTATACACACACACTGATTACATGCAAACAGATCACAGGTGAGGATGGTTCCCTTTAATAGCCATTCACACCCCTATGTGTCAACCTGTGTGCATGTTATCAGGCCAAACTCACCAGGGTATGTAAACTTTTGATCAGGGTCATTTGGGTAGTTTCTGTTGTCATTATGATTGCAAAAAAGTAAACACAGTTGATTGATAATAAATGGCTTCAGCCAAACACTACCCATGAGTGACAGGTTTTCGTGTTATCATGCATATATTCATATTCTCTGAAAAATGGCCAGGAAATCAAAAATTCTGTCAGCTCTCGATGTTTGCTAAGTTAGTGAAAGGGCATTATCTGAAAACACCTCATCACCTAGGCAACCCCCATATTTCCCAGTGAATGTAATATACAGGCCTTCAAGTACCATTTTGTATAGTGGAAGGGCGTCAGAATCTGAGCAATTTCAGTCGGTGTGAGTGTAGTGCTTATGAAAGCTTTCCATCTATTATGAAATGCCTCGGATCTCAAGTCAGGTTGAAGTTCTGCATCTAGTCGTTCACGCTGGAAGAGCACAGTCAGTTCCTGCACCTTCGGAGGAGTATTTGCATTCCATTTACACATCACACAGCGCATGGCCGCTAGTAGGCAAAGATGTATCCAGTCCCTTCCCTTTTGCCCTGTCTGCCTTGTATCCTCTCCCTGTGGTGCACTAAAGACGTAGAGGAGGGGATCAAAAGGGGGGGGTCCATTTTGTAACATCCGTAATGAAGAAGGTCAGTTCATGCCAGAACTTGCATATAGCAACACAGTCCAATAAGCAGTGTGCCAGTGATGGTCGGAGAGCACCACATTTTGGACAGCTAGATGCCCTTTCTTACTTCTTAATAAACTCTGTAAACTTCCTATACTGACTGGTGCCAAGTTTCTTCCAACCCACAAAGAGTGAAGAATTGCACTCTGAGTTTTGAGATGCTAGGCCACTGAGCTTCCTGGGTGTCCCTAACCACCTTCAGGAGGTGCTATATTTACTTTGCCGTGGCACAAGCATGAGCTAATGGTAAGGAAATTGTATATATATGTATGTATATACTGTGTGTGTGTGTGTATGTGTATATATATATATAAATTAGTATATATTTCCTTTTTTTCATGTACGGCCAGAGATTCTAGAACACCAGAGTTAGCAAATGGGCAGGGAAGGCAGTGAAGAACAGCAGTACCTAAAACAGTAGTAAGTGGAATGGGGTGTTGCTAATGTCTACATAAATTAGACACTGGGTTGTTTTAACAGCAGCAAGCAGGCATGGTGGTGGTTGGACTCTGTATGGCTGTTTAATGGAATGCACATATGAGTCTGTAGTCGGCTTTTCCCTCTAACGTGCAGGTCCGTGACAACAACACAGCTTATGATCTCCAAAATTCAAACAGAGAAGTGTTGCTCTTATTTGGGTTGCTCAGTTTGAAACCTTGACTCCGCTGCAACATCATTCTTAATAGCCATCAAATAAGGGAATTACAGAGAGATGGAAAGCAGTTAACTTCAGCATCCTGTGCACTATCCTGCTGCTATGATCATTACTGTGAAACATCAGAATAAAGTTAGCATGGTTAGCATTTGGTGAATTTATCTTTTAAAAGAACTGAAAAAGTGGTATTGTAGACTTTGTGAAGCAGTTTTTCTTAGGCAGGTGATTGTCCATTTTCCTAGTTCTTCTAAGTTTTAAAGTTCTTTGCAAATATAACATATGAAAGTGTATTTAAAAAAAAGTTATTTTTGTTTTGTTTTGGATAGAGTGGTCAGATTTATATTGCTGTCTGTGTCTCTATCGGTCTTAATGACCACAGTCACTTGGACTAAAAGTGAGGGAAAACCTAAATGTTTGAGCTGATACCAGAACAGGAATAGAGGGGACATCTTTCAATAGGGACACTTTCTGCACCTGTCTAGGAAGGGTTTTTCTCTCACTTCATGTTGTGTCTACAGGACAGGAAGTGAACGGTAACTTCCCCATGGTAGACAGGTGGCAGATAACCAGGGGACTTACCTCCTTCTCCCCATAACTCTCATAGTCACAGAACTAGAACTAGATCTTACCTGTTAAAAGCACTGAGGCTTTGAACCATATGGTAAGATTGCCTCTCAGATAGCAGTAATGCATACGTTTGATCTTTAAAAATTAAGTTTTACGTAAGCAATGCAGGAAGAGCACAGTGGGTCACAGAGTGTGGTTCTCATATAGTACATCGTTTAAAATGTAGTATTTCATTATATATCTCTATTCGGGGGTATGGTTTGCGCATGGCGGCAAGTGGATGTATGTAACCAGGGCTCTGTCTACCACCTCGAGTAATCTTGTTTTTTACCACTCTATCACCCACATATTTGGCTGACTATCATCTCCACTCCTCATAGGCAAGTAACCTAAACTTAAGGACTCTGCGAAAATTCCAGGCAGTGGCACTATCAAGCGCACTTCATCACCTGACCACGCGGCTGGGCACGCCTCTGGAGGCCCGGGATCTTCTTATGTCCCTTCGTCTGGCCGTTCCGGCTCACCCGCCTAATCAACTGCCTCCCAGGATTTAGACCAGGGATCAGATATGTTGGTAGCTACACTGGCCAAAACTTTGCCCAACAAGTCGGACCTGGCTGAGATGTTCTCCCGCCTAGAGCACTCTTGAAGTCCGAAATCTCTTCAGTGAAAGCGGAGATGTCGCATGCCTTGCAGAGGGTGGAGGAGGTTGAACATCGACTTGATACTCATGCCCTAGCTATAAAAGAGCTGCCATCA